GCAAGAAGACAATTCTGACACCGACACAGATAGTGAATTTGATAGAAGTGAGAAAATATCTTTTAATGAGGGTCTGGAACTTGGTGAAAAATACCTAAAATTTTTAGAACAACAAAGCTATGTCACAGAGCAAGAGATTGACTCTGTATAATTTACAAAAAAAAAAAAAAAAAACTTACTCTGGAGCACCCTAAAGTTTTAAAACAAACCTCCATCAGAAAAATGTTTGAAACATGTAGAAAAAAATGAAATATTTTATGCTTTATTAATATCCCTTATTTTTATGTCTATTGAATACATCCCCAATGCTTTTAAATATCCCTGTAAGCACTAATGTAAATGAATACTAATACATATAATATAATCAATTTATATATGTAATAATTAATGTACATAAGAAATTATTGTAATAGTGTATAATAATTTAATTAAATGTGTCTAATACACCTTATTTATTTAGCACTTTTAGTCTCAATATTATGATTTATCTTTTCTGTTCTGAAATCCGCACAACCTTTGCGGATTTCTGAAATTTTACTGTATCATGTTGGATGATAGGTGAGTAAGATAGCTGAAGCTATGGGGGCACCAGAAGAAAGGGTGTGAAACATCTTGCTCAGATAATTAGGGATGCGAAAGCTCTGCACAAGATGGGTGCCAAATGCCAATTAAAAGTAAAGGTGCAAACAATTTTTGCAGCAACCTTTGGACTGATTCAACGAGGATCCGACCAATTTAATGTGGCGTTTCGTTTCCATGGATGAAACATGGGTCCACTACTACACGCCAGAAATTAAACAGCAGTCCAAGCAATGGATGAAAGCCAGTGGTTCAGCGCCAAATAAAGCAAAGTCAATCACGTCGCTGGAAATGTCATGGCCAGTGTGTTTTGGAATGTGAAAGGAATCCTGTTAGTTGATTACCTTGCAAAGGGCGGAACAATTACAGAGGAATATTATTTTAACCTTCTTGACCAGCTGGATGCCAAAATTCGCGAGAAGATGCTGGCTTGAAGAAAACAAAATATTTCACCAGGACAACACACCAGTGCACAAGAGTGTGTTAACAGTAGGAAAACTGTGGGATTTGGGGTACGATTTGATTGACCATCTTCCTGTTCTCCTGATTTGGCACCCTCAGACTTCCATCTATTCCTAAACTTGAAGTTTGTTTCTGGAAAGTGCTTCGCATCCAGTGAAGAAGTTGAGAGGGTCGTAGATGAATATTTTCACAACCTTCCACACTCCCACTTTCGGGAAGGAATACTGATGTTGGAAAAATGTTGGACCAAGTGTATTAAAGTCTAGGGAGATTATGCAGAAAAATAAAATCATTTTTTAACTGAAAGTCACAATCTTTCATTTTCAGACTGACAACTTTTCACCTTACCCTCGTATATCAAGAGCTCTCCAAGTGAACATTATTATTTGTTGCTACAAATAAATATGTAAAACATGTAGAACGCAAGTACCATAATTAGATTGCTGCAGATGAGAATGGAGCACATCATACATGTGATGGTTTGTAGATTACATTTATATAGCAAATCTGTGACTCTTTGTTTGTAAATCACTATTGTATCTTATTAATATTCTTTATGTATCTATATATGTGTACCTATATAGATGCAGCACTATACTAAAATACTGTGTCTATATACTATATGTATATTGTATCTATTATCAGAGGAGCCGAAGTGAGGCAAAATATGCAAGGCTTAGATAGCAGAACAGTGAGGTAATGTACTGCTTGCAGATGAGAATAGACTTTTCGTGTCAGTTAATGCAGTAGGAAGAAGAAATACACTGTTGGCTCAAAAACCTGCTATGAATAATGATTTAGCAGTTTCATTATTCCCTGGAAAAACATTACACTGGATGGATTTTTCTGTCTGGAGAGGGGAGGGGCGGAAGACAAATAAAAATCTGAAAAGTTTCAGATTTTAAATTACGTCCAAAAAAGGCGTTTTTTTTTACGTTTTGTCTTTTACCTTTATTTATTAAATAGCATGTTCTTCGCACTTAAAATTTAGTTCAAGAGCAATATCTCAAAATAGTTTTAAATTGAGCATATCTTTAGAATTTCCGATACAGAGTCTCGCATGCTGAAAATAAAAATGTCATTGCTCGCTTTAAAATCCTTGAGTTTGTTAATCAAAAATTCCTTAATGATTTACAAAATATGAAATTGATAATAAAACAAATTTCAAATTTGGGCTTCTAGTTGCCCGTATTCGCAGTAGGATTACATCATTCAAAATTCGATGGCTCTATGTACCATTGTTTTATCCCAATGGGAGAAATATACATACATTTATGCAGATTTTTCATTATTTAATTTCTTCAAATATAATGCAGGACTCTTAACATTTGGTGCCAACAGTTTGAAAAGTGAAACGGACATTTATAGTGAACCAACACAAAATCACAAAACGAAAACAAAAGTCCTTCTGGGACAAAACCCCTTTGGACTAAAAAAAATCTGAAAGGGTTCAGGTTTTAAATTATGTTCAAAGGGGAATATTTTAAACATTTTGTGTGTTACCTTTAGTTATTAAATATCATGAATTCGCACTTAAACCATAAAATTCAGTTCAACAGCAATATCGCAAAATAATTTTAAAATGAGCATATTTTTAGAATTTCCAATGCATAGTTCCACACGCTGGAGATAAAAAGGATCCCATCCTCCTGTAGAGCGTTGCCATTGCTCGCTTTTAAATCGTTGAGTTTTGTAATCAAAAATCCATTAAAGTTTAACAAAATATAAACCAGATGATAAAACAAATTCCAAATTAGAGCTTCCTTATGCCCATATTTGGTAGAAGATCACGTTATTCAAAATTGGATGGCTCTAGGTACTGTTGTTTTATCACAATGCGAGAAACATAACACATTTATGCAGATTCTTCATTATTTAATTTCTTTAAATATAATACAGGGAGATAATATTTGTTGGCAACAATTTGAAAAGTAAATCGGACATTTATAGTGAACCAATGCAAAATGCCAAAACAAAAATAATAGTCCTTCAGGGCAAATTTCCCCTTTAGACTAAAAAGAAAGAACAATGCTCTTCTGATAAGGTTATGTATGTTTCTTTCTTCTAATATGTCACTACCTAACTTTTTTAATGGATGTTAATGCTACATTTCAATATTATGCTTATGGCCTAGTTTTTAATAATTAATACATCTTGAAATAAAAATTTCCCAGAATACATGTGGGATGTTTAAAGGAGGTTTTTATGGCACCTTTTGAAAGATGTATTGAAGGCTATGCTGATGGAAGAATGATAGTATTATCATCAAAATTTTTAAACGATTTCACATGAAATATGGACAGAGGATCTGCATCTTGCATAGATGTTAAGTGATCATATTTCAATCAGGGGCTTCCCTTCACAGCATCTATATTATTATATTGCATAGCATCCAGTGTGCTATGTAACATTCTCTATGCAAAATATCTCTATACCTTTTTATGTTAATTATCTGTGTTATCTTAGCTACAGATCTTATGTTAAGCATCTGTGTTATTTCCATCATTATTTTAGTATGTTAGATTTCCTGTAGTAGTAAGTTTCACCTCTTTCTGATTATCTGCACCGCTGCCCCACAAAAAGCAGCCAATGAGTTGACAACTGATTTTTTGCAAAGCCAATATGCAAATAGCAACAGCCGTTTTTAAAATAGCAGCACACTGAGAATTTCATAAATGAGTAATCAATCAATTAAATAAATTTTAAAAAGGAATAAACATCTTTAATATAATGCTTTCATTTTTTAAGACATCCATACACATCCATCCAATTTTTTTTTCACTGTTCTCTTCATATACATAGTGATCTCTCTCTGCTATTAAAAAAAAAGTGAATTGTACAAACTTGGTATTGCACACACGTTGTTCTCTCCATGCACACAGCAATCTATGCCCCCCCCCAAAAAGAGAATTTCACAATTTCAACATCTTGGATTCTGATATTTTGCTTACAAGTTTCCACATTGCATTTCTACAAAATCCAGTTGTTTAAGAGAGAAAATTTCAGAGCATAAAATTTTGCATTCTCTACTTACGGAAAATGTCAAATCTGTAAAAAAATTCAAAACATTCCTTTTTATCAGCTGGCAAACTCCCATTATGTCCCATTATGATTTGCTACAAAGAAAAAAGTGCTGTCGATACAAAAACAAATAATATTTAGAAAAATTATCATTCCTTTCAGTTAATCTTGTGCTCTTGAAGTGGAAAACCTGATCTATTGTTTTAAAAGTTTTTCTAATTGATATGCTGATAATGAGTAGGTCAAATTCTGAGAGGGAAATTGTAACGATTGTCACCAGAAGTCACGAAATGTGAATTATGTCTATATGAGAATTTTGGGGTTGTATATTTTACTTTCAGGCATTTTTTATTATTGAATTTTGGATTAGTCAGGGATATTCCCCCTAGTTTAGGGAAATTTATTTTCAAATTCAATCTTATAAATGAAATTTCTTTGCATTGAAAGCATAAATGATAAAATAAATGCACATGGAAGTATTTGCATTAATTTTCTTTAAAATAACTTTCTTGCAAAAAATATTTAAATTAAACTATTCAAGGAAAGTAGTGTATTATAATCTGTTTCAAAGGTAGTTTATTATAGTATGTTCACTATGAGAAGAGGCTTGGCCATGACTAAATCATATGGTATTGGGCAATACCAGTTTCTGACTTAAACTGGGAAGTTTATTTAAAATCAAGTGCAGTATTTTTTTAAGTACTTTTCTCCCTAAAGCAATTCTTCTACTTAATTTAATACGAAGATGTGTAGATCATGTTTGAAGTGAGGGATTTTCAATCATCTTAGAAAGTGTATGTTTAAAACATTAGTTCAGTTTAATCAGTAGTTCAATTGTCAATAGTTTATCAATAGTTCAGTTTTATTTTTCAAGTTTTATATTTTAATAATACAACATTATTTTTAATAGTTGTATATGAGTATTTTCAATATTCTAGGTTACCTATTGAAGGACCTATACCTGAAGGTAGATCATGGCACAGCTTGACAGCTCTAACAGAGCGCTATCTAATTCTTTATGGTGGTTTCAGTCAAAATAATGTAGCTTTAAGTAAGTGTGAATGGATTTGTCATTTTATTATTATAAACTAGCCACTACGCAGCCAGCCTTCATCTGGCTTTTAAATGTACCGGGAAAATGCCTAAAGTGAACACTAAACATGAAATTTTAAAACTGCACAGAATTTTACTCTGCAGAACAACTTTATATATATATATATATATATATATAAACAAAGATCAATGAAAATGTATTATGTATATGAAAAATTACAATGAAATAAGCAATATCCCTTAATGCAAATATTAATTATCCTAATAAAAAATTAACCAACTTCCCATTGCAAAATCTTAAGAATTCAAATGGTATAAATGAAGTTACAAACTTTGTTTCCTAAAAAAAAACTTATATAATTAAAACGTAATGTGAAAAAAAAAAATTTCCTCATATTTTCAAGAGAAAACAGTTAGCAGTCTAGTATCCAAAGCAATGAATGAAAAACTGTTGCCAAAACCACATTTCTAAAAGAATGAAACTATCATCAGAAAGCAATAACCAATCAAAATTGTGCTTTGTGGATGACGTAATTCAAAATATACAAACCTCTTTGTCATTAGCTAATAAAGAGAAAGGGGGGGAAGGAAATTCATGCTGTTGTGCCTCGCAAGATACATGCAAGTCAAAATAAGAAGATTGCGTTGGCGTCTCCAAAAAATCAAAAGAAAATAAGCAGAATTTTATCTCATATTTTCAGCAATCAACAGTCCAGTATACATTGAATGAAAAACTTTTGCCAAAAGCACATTTCTAAAAGTTTGAAACTATTCAAAATGATGCAATTTCATCAAAAAAGATTTTTAAAAAAATCTCATTCGAATTTCGGAAAAAATCGCTTTGAGGTGCTTGGCTCTTGTCTAAATGCATCTATGTAGCAAATTCCGTAGCCCTAGGTCTATTAACTTGCGTGCAGCATGAATGAAAGACACGCACACACATAGACAGGCTCTTTCTTTTATTATATGTGGAGATTCTTGATTTTATTACAGCAACTCTATCGTTTGTTCTGAACTCTTCATTCATTATAATAGTGTTATATAATGCTTATTGCTCTTGTTTTTCATATTTTTAATTTTGGAGTATGTAAATTAAGTGCACATGATATTAAATTGAATATTTTATTTTCTCAGTATATACATAAGTTATTAATTAAGGAAGTTTCACTTGTGAATGAATGTCTTATGAAATTTTTTGCATGCATCAGAATGAGTGTATGTGAAGCCTCCTTTGAGCAGAATCTGATACAATTTATATTCAAGTCTGTATTCTTCGTAGTATTAGATTAAAATGTTAGAAGATTGAGCGACCTGTCGATTATGAAATTCGGTGAGTTACAGTTCTTAACAACAAGAAACATGAAAGCTGCAGATGTTTATTCTCATATATATGAAGGGTATGGTAACAATAAAATGCAAAAATAGATGAAAGCTTGGAGCACTGATGGAGAGATGAAGAGGACCATAAATTATTGGCTGTCATCACATGTGGTAGAGTTTCTATGAAAAGTATGCAGTACAATAAATGTATAAACCAGGGTTTCTCAATCGGTTGTACGCAAAGAAGCAAAGTATTTTTAACTATTAAATTAAAAAACTAAAACTGCCCAACATCCTGGTTGAGTTTTTTTCTCAAGCACTCGTAAATTTATACATTCTGAGCTTTGTTCAAGAGTAGTGGTGGTACTAAAGTTTTTCAATTTTTGTTTAGATGGTGCGCATTAGTCAAAAGGTTGAGAACCGCTGGTTTAAACTAATGAGGTAATTATGCAGAAATATATAAAACTATGTAAATTCAAAATTTATTTTTTTTTTAATTCCAAGATGTACCTTTTTTAAAAAAAATGCTCTTATATTTTAGGTTATCGGAACATCAGATTTTTATACTTTGTTAGCATGTGGTATTTTACACACTTAGCATTTTTAGCACTGAATTTTACAAATGAAGATTGATTTTATTAAAGGTTTTGAGTGAATGTGGAACATTTACAGTAATTATATCATTTATATGTCTGTGTCTTTTTAAGTTAGTAACTACGTGTAATTAAGCCTTTACTTTGAAACTTAGAATTATAGAGTATTAACCCTCCACAAGATCCGTGAAAATAATGTCTTCACTTTTTATCCAAAATATATGGGGGGGGGGCATTCATATTGCATCAGCAGAAACTGGGATTTCAGTAGCGAGCAGTTTTGCAGAAAGGAAAAAGTAGGTTTAAGTTTTTTTTTATTGTTTAATTTTATGAATTTTGTACCCATTGTCAGAAGGTTTAAGCTTAAACAAAATCTCTGTATGATACTTTATTAGCATTTAAATGTATTCATTGCAGTCATTTTAGTAGTGAAATAATTTCATTATTAATTAGGAAATATTTATTTAAATTACCTAATCAACTATTTAGTCGTATTCTAGGTTTTTATAAAAACATAAATGTAAAATGATTGTGCTCCTTTGGTTCTATAAATGAATACTTTATTCATTATTGTCAATTTAATATAGGAGGTGATGTTAGATTTATATTCAAGGCTAGTCTAAGGCAGTATAAATGTACTTATGAGTATTGCTTTGAAGAGTCATTTAAACGGCTCATTTCGTTACATTGTGACCTTGTATTTTGTAAGTACCTTATACAGTCAAAAGTCGTTAATTCGGACACCCATTATCCGGAATGATCTATAATCCGGACCTCAAAGCTAAAAACTTTCTGCACATGCGCACAGGCGTTTTACGCGTGCGCATATGCATGTACGCAAGTGCAGAATACGTTTTCGCCTGCGCGTTTAATGTATAACGGACGGTGTAAGCTAAAATTATCTAATTATATATTTCAGTTAAAGTTAATGATTGCGTTGTTCCTTAATCTTCGAATTGGATCCCGCTTATTATTTTTTGCAGACTGTAAGAGCAATTTTATAAAAGTAAACTTGAACTTTCGATTATGTCAAATAGAATTTCCGATGCTGGAACTTCCAAAGGATCTACAAAACGAAAGTATGTTTCGATGTCCAACAAACAAAAAGTGGAATTGCTGCAAAAAATGGATAAAGACATGAAGAATATGACAGAGAGATTAGTGAAAACGAAAAAATTTCGATTGACAAGTTAGTCGGTATTCTCGGCACAGCAATTAACGGGACTTGAACAGCGAAACTTTGTAACTGAACAAGAAATTATGTCTGTTTATAGAATTAAAGAGAAAGTATTATCACATAAAATGTAGCAACTTACATTGAAACAACTTACATTGAAAGAAATGTTTAATAAAACAAACAAATAAATATTAAGCTTTTTTTTTTTTTTTTTTTTTTTTTTTTAATTTTGATAGCCCTTTAGATCATAATTGTTCTTTATTTCATAAATTACGGTTTAATATTTTTAATTTTAGAATTTCTGCATGCCATCTTACGAGATTTAAACTGATGATCTATAATCCGGAATCGCCAAAGTCCCGACGAGTCCGGATTAACGACTTTTGACTGTAGTAGGCTATATGCCAGAATGCATTTTTTTAACTGAATTTTGATAATCCTGCATGTATTTCCTACTAGAAATAGAAATTTTGTGCAGCTTTGTGTGTATGAATTATTTTTCAGTATTGCTGAAAATCAGTTGTACAATATCTGTTGAACCCTTTCAAATATTTAATTTTTATTTTGATGTTAAATATATATGTACCTGAATTGTTTTGGAATGCTTCTTAGAATAAGTTACACGTGTCGTGTCTACCAAACCCTTTTAAATGTACTAAATTGATGTTGGTATTAAATTTTCTCTATTCATTTTAAGTTTCTCCCCTTTTCTTTATATTTATTTTATATTTATGTAATATTGACCTTATTTATAAATATTACATTCTGCGGATTCATGGATTTGGAGTAATTGATGACAACATTTGATGAAGAATCAAAACATGATTTATTCAGCAGCATTTCGCAGGAGATTTCCGAAGACACGTTTACAATCGTCGAAAAACTACAACAAACATGCTGAAACAATCCGCAACACAGCCTTCAAGCTGTCAGGCTATAACGGTGAAGACAGCTTCAAAAAAAAAAGCACTAAAGTGCAGCTCCCGACTCAGCCGATTGCTCTCGGAGCTCAACACAAGATAAAACTCATTGATACATTGACGATAAACTCGCGATGCACTGCTACTCCAAATACAGGCAGGGTTTATATAGCTCTTTTGACCTGCATTTGAGAACATTCTGGGGTAAACCGGTAAGAATTCATTCTTGAATGTTCTTCCATCAGTGGCATGTCACCAAATGCACGATTTTGGGCCAAATCTGGCAACCCTGCATCTTTTTGTCATTTTCTGACAACTCTCAACCTGCTTTGTGGAGAAGCTATCTTACCACGGCTGGATATTTCGTAATAATATACTGTCATTTGTTTACTAGTTTCAGGTAAATGAGAAACAAAGAATATTAAAACAAAACAAAAACATTTTGAATGAAATTATTAAAAGCTTGATTTTGAAAATGAAAGCAGTAAATTAATTATATGGGATGACTTATAAATGTTTAATCCCTAAATGAGCTAAATGAAGTGTAAAGTTAGAAATAAAGTTAAACCATAATTCTCTATTTTTTTTTAAACATTCAAAAGAGATTTTTCAGGTGTTATTGTTTTAATTCTTCCCCCTTAATATAACAGTACAGTGCTAAATTCTATGATGGCTGAGGCATGAGGGACAGAAATTTCTTCATTTTGTTTTCTTCAAGATTTGAAAATTTTAGATTGCTGTAAAGAGACTGTAAGGTCCTCTGGTTGCAGTAATCTTTGTATTCAATGTTTGTCAATTATTTGAAAATCTAAATTAGGGTTGGAATCTAATTATTTTTTCTTTTATAATTAAAAAATATATTTATGAAAATTTTATTGATATCTAATCATTACATTTAAATTTCTAAGGTGATTGCTGGAGGTTTGATACTACAAACCATGTCTGGACCATGATTGAACTTCCTTTCAGAAAACCTCGTGTCTGGCACAGTGCTTGTCTAAATAATTATAATGAAGTTTTAATATATGGTGGCTGTACATCTAATATATTAGACCTTGAAAGAACACCGGTAAGTCTTTGCAAACATTTTTTCAGTGTAATTTAGAAATGAATTATTTTTTTAATAATTATTAGCCCAAAGGGGCAATTTGCCAGAAGGGCTGTTATTTTGCATTATAAACAGCGGTTCACTTTTCAAATTGTTGTCTCCAAATATTAGAGGTGTGCATTATATTTAAAGAAATTAAATAAGGAAGAATCTGCATGAATGTATGTATGTTTCTCGCACTGTGAAAAAAGAATACCTAGGGATATCAAATTTTGAATAGCATAGTCCTCAACTTGACTATGGGCATCTGAAAGCCCAAATTTAGAATTTGCTTTATTATCTATTCCATATTTTGTAAAACTTTAATGACTTTTTTATTAACGAACTAAACTATTCAAAAGCAAGCCATGACAACACTGCAGGGGAGGGTAAGACTGTGTATCGGAAATTTTTAAAATATGCTGTTTTTAAATTATTTTGTGATATTGCTGTTGAATTGGATTTTATGGTTTAAGTGCAAAGAACATGATATTCAATAAATAAAGATAACACACAAAACATTAAAAAAAAAAAACTTTGGCCATAATATAAAATCTGATTTTTTTTGTTTTTGTAATTGTTGCTTCATGAAGATTAGTTATTTAAATTGCTATTTTTACTGATTATGTGAGGTATAATTGCATAATATGTGTGGATCTTGAGTGCCTTGTATATTTGTAATTTTTCATATGTAATAATTCCCGTTCCTTTTCGCATTTCTGTTATTTATTACAGTTCTTTTAATGTTTAAAAAAAAAGAAAGAAAGAAAAAAAGAAATTGTGTGATAATTATTATAATTTTAGTTTTAGCTGGCAAGTGAAAAATGAAGATATTCCTCATAGAATTTACCTTTTTTAAGATCTGTAATGTATTCAGATGTACAGAAATTTTGGGAAATATTTTAAGTGTAGAAAGGTGACAAAAAGTTACCAAATGCATTAATTAATGGGTTTTAATATTTTATGTTGCAGAGAAAATATTTGTTAAATGTTTAAATTTTTAAAGGTGGCAATGGATGTTTTTAATGTTATGCTGAAAGTGATGTGAATACTAGAATGATGCTCCACAACCCAGTGGCTGTAGTTGTTCATTAAGCATCAATAAAAATGATTAAATCCACTGTTCATTTAGCCCTTTTTCATCCAAAATGTTACCCAGGGGGTCACCAATATTAACCTTCTAGAAGGGGATAGATGTCTATAAACAGGCATGCTTTGTCCAGAATTTGTATTTGGGCTCACTGAGCAGGGCAACAGAATAATAGAAACTGTAATGAATATACCTGCAATCGTTTCAGTGCTGTCTTGATAAAAATTCATGAAAAATAACTAAAACCCTTAAAATTATATGTATTCTATTAAGTTTTGAATCCATATTTTTTAGCCATTGAAGTTATGTAAAACAAATATACAAAAGCAATATTTTTGTAAGTTAAATAACTTTGAAATTGATTACTGTCTTTGTTTTGAATTATATGTGTAATAAAATGCAATATTTGATACTTCACTTTCAGGAGCAAGCTAGTGACATCATAGTAATTGGAATAACTCCCAAATCACTTTTTAGGTATGTACACTTTTTAATTAATTTACAATAATTTAGAATTTATACAGTGTTTAAGAGCTTACATTAAAATATTTTGTAATTGCATCAGGATTTATTAAATATCCACATCTTAACGAAATTATATTATTTTTAGAATACACTCGTGTCTGAAATTATCTTTACATGCATGAAATCATAGTATGTCTCAGAAACTGTGAATGATAATTTTATGAATTTATATAGAATGCTACATAACTTTGTAACATATAAGTAACAAAAAATTAAATTAATTTAAAGCACTACTACATAGGATATAAAACTGTGGCATGCAACAATAAAAATGGTAATATGTTATTAGTAAAGTTCAGCAAAAAAATAAGGCTTAGGAATTTAATGTGGAATGTGATCTCATCTGACTTGTACACACATATCTTAATGTATTTTCGTAATTAGCTGACCAAAAAGCTTTTGCTATGACTACATCAAAAAGTTTGCACATGTGTATTGTATTATTTTTGACAGTTTCGTCTTTTTTTTTTCACCTGAAATTTCAATTTTAGACCCTGCTAATTCAAAGTTGTCTATCCACTCTTGTGGATGTTTAAGACACCCAAGTACCTAGGTGAGTTCTATCCCGAATCAAAAATACAAAGCTTCGAAATAGTATCTCAACTAACTTAAGATTGATTGTAATAAAGTTATATTTAGCGACTTGTACTAATATTTACCATCAGTGGAAAGGTAGAATAAAAATTACATATAAAAATACACAAACATACTGCATAAATAGGAAAAAGCTAGATAGTAATACATTAATCTTCTATAATAATTCTAGATTTGAGAACCATAGGCTGTCTTATGTTTTGCACATCATTATAATCATAATTGTAAATTCGCTGGTCATTGTTGTTACTATTTCTCATACAACAATGAAAACTTTTAGCGAGTTGGTAGTAAAAGATTCTGAGCTTGACAATGTCAAGCTGCGCATGAGTAGTGTTATTATGTGTCTGTATTCTGGGAAGTTTGCAACTTTTTTCTGTAAGATTTATCTGGCTTTACGCACGCAAAACTTCTGGATAATGTAATGTACATGTGGGTACCATGTGAGAGAATTTTAGAGGATCACCTCAGGATAAGAGATTTGCTTAGTCCAGGAGAGAGTTTCTTTATAGAACTGCAATTTCTGAGTTTTGTCAACATTTATCTGAATTTTCCATTTTCATAGCCAAGCCTCTAATGCATGGATGTGATTTTGGAAGTGTTGTATGGCTGGACTAAGAAATGCATTCTGAGCAATGATCATTGTATCATCAGCATACATTGCAAGTGTATTGTTGGGTGTTCAAGAAATGACATTCACTAAATGTTGGAGACTGGGGCCCAGTAAGGATCCCTTGTAACACCAGTTGAAATAGCATGGTGAGTAGAATATATGTTAGAGGTGTGAACAACAAAGTGTCTACCTTCCAGGTAGGATTTAATTATGACTATAATGTAACCTGGGAAGTCCAGATTATGAATCTTGCTATTCAAACTCAGTCAAATGTTTTGCTGTATCTAAGAACAGTCCATCATTAATTTTTTATGATGCATTCCGTCTGAGTTCTGTTCAACTGCCCCCGATAGTTTGGAGGTGATCGACTGGTTTTCTTTCTTAAAACCAAACTGATTGTTGTCTATTCGAACAAAAGATTCTGCTCCACCAGAACTTGTTTTCCCATAGCTTAATGTAACCAAGACATATGTCATAAAATGCTGTAAACTCATATAGAATTGTATTGTTATTAATAGTTCCATTTATATATATATATATATATATATATATTTTATTTTCTAATATTCTAAAACGTTTTCTCCCTTCTTCTTGAGACATAAATTTAATTTCATGTGTTTTCTATGTTTTATTTGCCATTACCACTGATAATATAAAGTGCCTTCGCATTTGTACTTCCCGCTATCAAAACAGCTTTGTTAAATAATTTGAATTACTCTTGCACTTGCCAAAAATCCCAGTCACCATGATCATTATAAAAAAAACTGTTTTATCGTCACTGGAAAGAGTTCTTGTGAAATAAAATAGGATTTAAGCCCTACATAGACTTCAAGTATTCAAATAGATTTCAAGTATTCTGCCAAAAGCTAGAAGTAATCAAAGAAATTAGGTGTTGCCATGTTGAAGAAACTTTGTATTGTTACATTTTCAAATTCACAGAACTATTTTAGTTTAGTCCTTCAAATTATATAAGTGTGAAAATACTTATCAATTTTGACCACTAAAGCTTCTGTTTCAATAAATAAAACATCATCTGCAGTTTGAAACTAATTGTGTACGCTGCAGCCAATGCCAACAATGTGTTTTCCTAGTTTCTCATGTAAATTTTGTTTTCTGCTCTGTGTTTGACATCCCCAAAGGTAGTATTGCAATGATCTCTACAAAATCCAATGTTTTTTTCTTTTCTCTCCCTGCTCTATTTTTATATTATGAATTTTATAAAATGCTGCACAGTAATTGACACAGTTTTAATTTCTTTTTTGTTAGAAGAATCTATTGAACCATCGTAAAATTTGTTTTATTTAAATCTTTGCAGAGCTGCTGAAAAACAGTGACTCAATCGCATTAAGAGTGAGTCTAAATTTTGTTTAAAATATTTTCAAAATAAGTTTAGATGAACAGTTGACTGGGTTAAATCTGAGATTGTGAATAGTAACATGAAAAAGTTATTTCTGCTGTTAAGAATTCTTTAACAGTTAAATCAGTACCTTTGAAGTATGATAATACATCTCAGGAAGTTCTTTCCACTGCTGCGAGGTTTACCTTATTTTTCAGGCATTGGTACTTTTCTGTTATGGGATTGGATTCAGAAATGTAGCTGTGTTTGTAAATATGTATATATTTGTCTGCATATACACACATACATGCACACACACATATTTACATGCATAAATACCTACATTTCTGAATCTGGTACCGACAGCAGAAAAGTACTTAAACTTTTATTTAAAAATAGATAATGTTTTTATTATTATTATTATTATTATTATTGGTGTTTCTTTTTGGTATTTTGGAGATTAAATTAATTTAGTGTGTAGCTCAAAATAATCGTGAATGCTGGTTGTTAATTTTAACTCAACTGAGATAGAACATAGGCAACAGTGTTTAGTTCAGTGTTGGCAGCTCTGATTGAAATAAAATATTTTTAAAACGAAGTAAAAATATGTGGATCTCATAGCCTACAGTGTTAAGTTCAGTGTTGGCAGCTCTGATCAAAATAAAATATTTTTAAAACGAAGTAAAAATATGTGGATCTCATAGCCTATGTGCTGTTTCTGTGAAGAAATATCTTGATAAAAATATAAAACATCTAATTTCATTTAGCCACCTGGCTATAGGTAAACATCCAGACAACATTAAAATTACTTAGATCTAGATGCAAAATATTTAGAGTGGTAACAGTGAATGGAACAGAGGGAATATATTTATTTCCAAATTGGCTGTTTTACCTGAGGCTGCACTAATTTTACTCCTTGTGTCTTCAGAACTTTAAAATTTTACCAAATAACATAGATAAAATGACAAACTGACCAGGATGCAGTAACCTCATCATGAAAGTAGGACATTCGGTAAGCTTATGCATTATACATTCCTAGGGATATTTTATATGTAGATGCTCTTGATTTTTATTTGTAAGTATGACAATATAATAATATATATTGAATTTTTGAAAGTTATCTTTTATGTGTAGAAAAGATTTTAACATCAGCATAATCATAACTATTATAATATTTCAGTCTAATTTTTATTTTTTTAATTATATAAATTAGGACTTTCTGTTTATATGTAAAATTAAAATTTTATGTGTAATGACTTTATTTGATCAACCAACGTGTAACACATTAAGAAACTTTTCTGAGAAACACCTTTCTCCCATGAGCAGGATGTTTCTAACCACATCTTTTGGGTAACATTAGTATTCAGCAGATGCATTTCCCTACCTGCATGATTTTGGCCTAAGAAATAATGAATTTTGTATCATAAGTAGCATCAACGGTCCTGATCTCTATTTATTCGACTGCTCATATACTTCAAGTTATCACTTACAGTATATGAACACTTAAGTTATCATCTTCATGACCTCCTTCAAGACCTACATACAAGCTTAGGTCAGGGACACCAGTGTGCACTTAGTTGCATACTAGACTGTGCTGTTGCTAAGAGTATAGCTTGGAAAAATTCCCTGCTACTTTTCTGCTGAAACTACCTAAGCAAAAAAATTTTTATGCAACCAGTTACAAGCTAGCAGATGTTCCAGGGAAAAGAAGTATGTTAGACATCTTCAGTAATAGAAAATATCAAAGAGAGAATTCAATGTAATTTTAAAATGTTAATGAGAAAATTTGCATAAAATGTGTTGATCAACCAAGAAACAGCTCTTAAAAAAATGGATTTGGAGGTTTACAGCTTGGGGGATTATGAAATTAACCCTTTCAGGGGTGCAATGTTATGATTTTTTAAAAGTTATGAAAAAGTAAGCGTAATGACATGCAATGGTCCTATAGGCAACATAAATGAGTTTAAAAAAAATTTTTTTCGTCCCCCTTTATGGAAAGGGGACCGGTTTCGCCTTGAAACCAGCGCCCGTCTGGAGCACTTAAGACTAGACATTTGCTTATTTATCTTTACTTTGCTGAAAAGTATCTAAACGTAACCCAAATCGCAGATTATACTAGTAAATTACTGAACAACTAATAAAGTAAGTAATATTTGCATAAACACGCATTTTTAATTATAAATAAAAAATTTAAAACAGGAAACAAAAAAGTATGAGACAAAAAGTAACTAATAATGCACTAAATTACTTGCATAAAACTATGAAATGTTTAAAACTAAGAAAATTATATGTAAAAGTAAAATAAATTAAGATGCATACAATTATTTTATTATGAACTAGAAGCATGAAAAAAGCGACCGCTAAGAGAAGCATAATAAAAACGCAACTAGGAGTGTTTTTCAGTGTGCTCTGTGTCTCTGTGAAAAATAAGAAATGTTTTCCCTCTCTCAAAAGCTCCATAAATCCTCATCTTTGAAGCCACTCAAATGAAGATATTCTGCAACTGTTTACAGCAGTGATCCGAAAGCAATAAACACAACTGCAAAAAATCTCGCGACTGCGTCATCTGATCATTTCTTTGATGTCCCAGAGGGGCGGTGGTTTCATACTGAAACCGCAATGAAAACATTCAAATTTAAAAGGGTTCCATTACTTTTTTTTTTGTGAACTAAGGACATTTCATTACTCATTGATGCCTGCTTATAAAATATATTGTGGAAAAATTAAATTTTGGGGGCTTTTTGCTTTTAAAATGTGTCAAAAAGAGTAGGGTGCAAAAGAAGCTATTTTTGAATGATTCGTATCAATTAATGGATGCCCAGAAAGGTTTGCTGCTGTCATCTGTTATCAGTTTTAAGAAGTAATTTAATTTTAGCAGCGGTTTTGAGGGGGGGGAATTTCTAAATTTAAAAAAAAATGTTGAAAATGTGGTTTCAAGGCGAAACCACCGCTCCTGAAAGGGTTAAATTGTAAAAACAAGTAAGTATTCAAAACTTTAAAGACTTTAGACATAAGCTGAGGATCATTCACTGATATTTATTTTTACTGATGAACTTTCCACCATTGAACATACTTATAATAATCTTAATAGTCGAAAGTAGTTGAAAGGTGCTGTTGGGCTTACAGCATTATAGAATAGCATGCAAAAAACTATCATTTTTGTTAATCAAGAGGTGAATGTTAAACCATAAGCATATAACAGCCACTTTTAGAAGATGTTTTGCTAGCTTCCTCAGATGCTTAAGAAACCAAAAATAAACTTTCCGTCTAGTCTGTGCACTAGCTTTCAGAACTGAAGGCAATCAAGAATGGCCAGGCATCTTTCCCAGACTTTATGAAAAATTGGACATCTTACTTCTTTCATATGATGGCTTAACAGTCACAACTGGTACAAGCAGAACTTGTTGCTGAGTAATTAGATCTTTCTTCATCACAATAACCTCTATAAGGATTTTGTCTAAATGTTTTAGCCTTTCAACTTTATACCAGATGTTATAAGAAGCAATTAATTGCAACAAAGTAAGCAAACTGTAGATTAATTTATACAAGAACAAATTTGCCTTTCATAATTAGCTTTAGCTTATACCCTGTTCCGCAGATGTGAGTAGAGATAATGACTCTTTTGCATCATGACTATGATAATTGTGACTGTTCAGCCATCATTTAAATGCTTTGTTACACAGAAAAATCTTGTGCTAACTTCATGCCAGTTTGTTGACTGATATTCCTTGTGAAAAGAATGAGTAAAATTTTACTGAATAATTCTGGGCCCTTATAGAAAAATTTTGTGAGATTTTTTTTTGATTCTACATCAGAGGTGAAGGTTGAATCTTTGAAAACTTGTAAATATTTAACAGGAATATTTTTAATTACTTTAACTCTCTGAGCATTATGACCGTCTTTATCCGGTTGTCAGAAGTTTTGCTACTTGGCATATATTAGCTTATATTTTAAGATAGTTTGCTTTCTTACTTTCTTTAATAATGTAAATTTCATCGTAATGAATGTAAGTTTAGGAAAATACTGATAAAATAATTAATTATACCTGTCTTCATGAACATTTAAAATCCTGTGCCACTCAGAGGGTTAAAGTATGCTTGAGCTTTATGTATTACAATGTATATTTGAGTTTATTTCTTGTCACCTTGTATTTATATCATGTGTATCTGAAGTATTTACAAAAGCATATAGTATATACAAAAGTGTTTTTATAGAACTGAAAGTTAGATATTTATTTTTGCAGATTATGTGTTAATGCAGTGCTGCCTATGACCTTACTACACAAGCACTTTTGTATACTGCCTATCAGTATTCAGAAGGTTCTTCGTGCGAGATTTGCCCTGTATGTGTCAAGTAATTTAGATGGTTCTTGAAAGAGGTTCAGACAACGAGTGTTTTAAATTTGAAACCAAAACAAAATTTTAAAAGAGAAAAGCAAAACTTTAATGTGATGAAATGTTCTCATGCATTTCTGTCTTATGTGTACAAAAATCATGTTAAAATGTAATTTTTGAATTTTATGCAATATATACTTTTTATATAAATGGTTAAAATGTATTGCATATAATTGTAAAATTATATTAACAAGATTTTTAAAGGGTCATAAAATTCCTAACTGATCATATTTAAATCTTAAAATAGTGAACAAGTTATTTGTGGTCATTTATTTGACAGTGCTGTTTCAGTATTATTTCAGTATCTGTCATTAAGTATGTTTAGCATTTCAGAATAAATATCTCATTATCATTGTTATAATGTTGTAGGAAGTGATTAAAATTAACTGTGGGCTTTATTTCTTAAAATACTGATGATTCTAGACATAATAATTCCAGTTATGTGTATAATGCCATAATGCCATCAGGTCCATAATGCTTTCCTGCTATTCTGCATATTTATGTTCAACTGTGGTATTGTCAAAGTATGTAACAAGATTTTTTGCTTCAAAGAATACATTTTCATTCTTCAGCCGTGATGAGCTTTGTACTGTCTAGTTGTCATGATTTTTAGCTTATAAGCCACTTCTTATTCCTGATAATTATATGCGTTCACTATTGTGTTGAATAATCCTAATCATATCAATGTATCCTGATGTATGCCAAAATTCAATCTTGATTAAAATTATTCAATACAGTTGTATGCTTCACTATTGTGTTGAATAATCCTAATCATATCAATGTACCTGATGTATGCCAAAATTCAATCTTTATTCTGCCTGCAAAAGCAAACTAATTTAGATGACCTTCTTAATCTATGTCCATCTGTTTACGAAGGCTATGCCTTGCTGCTATTGCTGCATCCCATTTCTAGTTTTACTGGGATGTAACCCACTGTTCATTATTTAGGTAAAGTGAACATGTCCAAACCTCAGAACATAACTTCCTATTTTTTGTGCAGTCAGATACAATGTCATATTTAAATTTATAGAGTGTTTTTTACTAACAATGATTTATGTATTATGTTTGATTTGCTACTGTTTACACAATGACTTAAGCTCCTTCAGATTTCTTGATTAAAATCTTGCATAATTGTTTTATTTGAGCCTTGTAATATCCATTAATGTACTTCTTTTGTACAAATGGTATAAGAAATTTATGTACGGAATCTCTTAATTCACTGCAGAATGTAACAAATATCTTAACATCTAGATGTCAAATATTTAGAGATTCTGTAAGAAAGCATATTTTTTTTCTTTTTTTTTGGGGGGGGGCATATATTAAAAGTTAAAAATGTGAAATGTATGCTTTGCTTGTTTCATTAAATCATTACATTATCATGTATTTGAATTTTTTTTATTGTTGTTATGATTATTATTGACTTGGCATTTACCAAATGGTATCACATTGAGGTAAGTCTCATTTGTAATCTTGGAAGGTGAATTTGCATTGTTCATTTTTCTCTTGGATCTTATCATCAACATTGATAAAATGATTTTTGGCATCATATTTCCACTTCTACCAGAACATTGTGAAAGATAGAATTTGAACATATTATGCATTGCTTCGCTTTGTACATTACTAACCTCTGGCTAGAACTTTGTGAATTTTATATGAACTGATAGATTTTAATTGCTCCAATTCTTCTGTGCACACAAAAATCCACCTTAATCTCAAATATGGGCCTTTGGCATGAGTGCAGACTTTGCTGACAACATATGGTCTGGGTGACCAAAATAAAGGGCATGCACAGAATAACTTCCTGCAGATGAAGATTGCCAATTTTTTTAATTGCTTTGCATCTTTTCATTTCAAATCAGTGCGAATTTAAGATTAAGTGATTTCATATCAGTGCGAATTTAAGTAATGTTTATTTTAAAAAATTCGCATATATCATTGGTATTACTTAAACACAATACTTCACTGAAAATCATATTATTAGAAGAATAGCCACTTGTAGGATCGGCAGCCTGAAATAGTTATTATAAAAAAGAATATATATATATATACTATGATTTTAATGAATCTAGGTAGTGCAATTTCATCAGTCCTGTTAGTGATTAACAATAGAAGTGCAGAGTTATATTAATTGCTTTTAACTTCCTCAGTTTATTAATCAATAACATGCAGATTAAATTTGAAGGAAAAATTAAATATCTTGCATTTTACCAAATGGTATCACATTGAGGAAGGTTAAAATCGCTTACTTTCTAGCAGTGGCAATACTCTTTTTTAAATTTCTGAACTTGTTAAGTTTGAAAGACAAATATCGTAAACTTTGCAAAACGGCCACTTTTTTCTTTTAATTTCTGAGTTCTCTGATTAAATTAAAAAGTAAATATGTTATGCTTTGCTGAGTTGCAATATATTGCTTTTAAATCACAGAGTTTGTTAATCAAGAAGTTGCTGCATTTACATAAAATATGAAATAAATAAAACCTAAAATTGCACTGTGAGGTGCACATGCTCATGTGGATGGTTATGTATGTTTAAAATTTGGTGGGTCCTGTTGCTGCTGTTTTATAACATGAGGAATATACAGCTTTTTTTGTTATTTAATAATAGAGATATGTTGTTGAATTTTAGGTAGAAATAAGATACAAACTTAAATTTTTAACAAACTTGTTCTTGTCTAGATTAATAATAAAAATGCGGATAAGGAACTGAAAGTTCAAAAGGAAAATTTCAATCATTTTATTAAATGAACTAACAAAAAGTCTGCTGAAAGTAAATGTAAGGTATTATTTTATCCAAACTTGCATTTGTTGTGAGCTTTTCTCTTTTTTATACATATACGTAAATGTATAAAAGATCTGTGTCTATAGGTGTATTTTGTATCACTTTGGTTTTGCTAGAAACTTAAAATTGAGACTTTTTATTTTCAGATATTATGTATTTCATCAGTTTTTATTTTTGCTTATTATTCTCATTTCATCTGTTACTGTGTTACAAATTAGACATTTATTTCTAATAAAGTGTTTTACTTTAGATTTTGTGCTGTTTTATTATGTTACCTATGCATTTATGATATAAATATATACACTGTAATCGTGTAGATGATGCTTATATATTATGCTGAAAACTTGCTTTAAAGTAACCAAAATGCAGTTTGCATGAAAAATGCTCTATTTTGTTCATTTATTGTATTCCTAGAAAATCTTTGTTATGATGCATTCAAATAGTTGATTCTAAGATTTATTCTTTTGCACATCTCCAGTTTTCCTTCACTTCTTGTGGGATGTGAAATTAATTTGAATAGAATTATTTGATTCAGAGTGAACCTTCTTGGAAACTCCTGTAATTTTTTTCAGAATAGTCCATATCACTAATGCTAGTTCTAATGTAACGTGCTTTTTAAGAAGACTTAATAATTCAATATTTTTTGTTTAAAATAACTTTAAAAATTTTTACTTTTTGGTACATTTTATATTCATTTGCTACATTGTTTCTTGTATTTCTGTAATTTTGCATAAGGATAGTTCTTTTAGTTCCTGGATTGAATTTTTTTTTTTTTTTTTTTAATCATGGAAGGGTTTTTATAATCTTTGCTGTTTGTTACCTTCAAATAGTCCCTTAGTATAATATGTTCGTATCACTCTCTGAAAAAGTATTGGAACATTTTAAATGCTATAGCGCTCTCTTCGTGTTTTTCAGTGGGCAGTTATGGAATCTTTTTTCATTTAAGGTGACTTTCAACCTGGAAAACAGGAAAAGTTTCAAAGGATAAAATCAGGCAAATGCAGTATCTGGAGTATTGGAATTTTCTTTTTAAGCTAAAAAGTTTTGATACTAGTTTAGTAATAGTTGCACGTGGCATGGAGTTATGGACGGCTATTTCCAGAAATCTATTTTTATAGTATTTTCCACAAGTAAGCATTCTAAGACATCTAAGATTCGAAAGCATAAATTTCGTTTCTCCGTCCCCCTTTTGCCAGTGATGGAAGAGCAATCAGGATAAGAATTATTCTCTTCAGATATTTGAGGGAAAGAGAAATTCAAATGCCATTCAGATGTCATTATGTAGCTCACTACATTCTTGTCAAGTGTACATTACGCTAAAAAAAAAAGAAGACTACGGTTCTATATCACCCGTGTATATTTCTACTGGGCCAATTGACAAAATTCAGCTTGCGTTTTTCATGTCTTGGAAGCACCACTTAGAATATATATTAGATTTATATATAGCACTGTTCTAATATAGTTATTCCGAGACAAAATCGGACTTTTCCTGAAATGACATGCTGATTTTTTTTCCATATTTCGATTTGACGACTCAAATTACGCCAAACTACCAAGTTTTGTAAAAATCGCATGAGTGGTTTTTAAAAAATTAGCTCTCAAAATTTTTAGCTCCTCAATGTTAATTTGGCATGTATTCATTAATATATCTTTTTTTATTAAACTTATTTGATTCCTTCTAACGTAGTTTGAAATTTAGGTTCATTTCAAATAAAATTCACCCATTTTTTAAGATTTATTTTTAAAATTTGTATTTTTAAATATTTCGGAAAAAGTTTTGAATTATAACTTATAAAATTTTTACATTCATCTTAAAGTAGATGTATTTTTAAGCATACCTGTAAAAAATTAGAGCTTTTTATTTAAAATTTCCAAAGATATACGTGAATTTATATATTGGCTCATTTTGAAATTTGGCATATTTGTTGAAAGCGATAATAACGAAAATGTGGTTTAAGCACTTTGTTAAAATGATTTGAAAGTAAGAAGGATGTGACTCCCCCCCTCCTCATCTACAATGTGAAAAGATAGGAAATAGGTGCCTTTTTTCCCCATTGCGGCATAATGGAAGGGTAAGAAAAATAAGTTGCCATATATTAAGAAGTTCGCCAAGTGAATTATTCTTGGCGCAAACTGAAAAAATTGCGCAAATATATATTTTTGAATTTCTCCGTAAATTTCGCACCAAATTTTATAAAATTTAATATCTAGGCATAATTTGAGTCGTAGAATCAAAATATGGAAAAAAAATTGTATGTTATTTAAAAAAAAAAAGTCCTATTTTGAATCAAAATAACTATGTTAGAACAATGCTATATATAAATCTGATATATATCCTAAGTTACTGTTTCTAAAGTTTGTTGGTCACAAGAAAAAATCCGCCGACGCAGAAATCAATTTAAGTCTATAAATACATCAGTGGCAACAATAAATAAAATAAACCAAAGTTTACATTTGAAAAAATTTTAAAGAAAAATGTCACCAGCTTTTGCCGAGGTCATTTGACTCAACGAAGAACAACTTGTGGAACCCTGTATGAAAACTGTTGTGACCCTCGATGAAGCATGGGTTTACCCAAAATGATTGCAACAAAAAAAAAAGTCTATTTATGATAGAAAACGAAGAGAAAATATTTACAAATTGATTTGGTCAATGCAAAGAAAGTGTCTGTAAAGGATTTATGATTGCCGGAAGATTCTCGGTCAATGGGAAATTTAAAAAAAGATGATTGGGAAATCATGACGTACTCAACGTACTATCAAGAGAAAGTTTTACAGAAGAAATTCTACTTATTTATTATCAGAGACGTTCAAAATTGTGAAACATCATCAAGACCAAGTAAAAATGTATACTTCGAAAAGTACCACTGCGTTCCTTTAAAAAATGAAGACATACAAGTATTGCATGTCTTTTCAATGTATTCCCCACGAAGTCGCCTGATATTTCACGTATGGATAAGTCTGCCTTTCATCTCTTGAAAAGAACTCCTGTACAAACCCACCATGATTGACGGGGAAAGTAGTGGAAGAGAAATAGAAATCATTATCCTTAGAAATTTAACGAAAAGCCCTTTTCTCATGAAAATCACGATGCAGATTTTTGTCCAAAAAAAAAAAACCGCTGTCGTTTCAAATATTAATTAAAAAACCCCGAAATTATTTTAAAAATGTGTAAACACCTTTTGTATATCTGTAGCACTTCATTCATGTAATCGAGAGAAGGATCAAGGAAGGGTTAAATTACGAGGCCCATAGGCTTAATGCCTTTATCCCCACATCATCAAAGATTAAATAATTATCATCAAAAAGAGGGTTCGGCAAAGAGGTAAAATTTAGTGTCGAATTGTCAAAATAACAGAAGGTTAAACTGCCATCCACAGTGAAAAAAGGTAAAAACACTGAAGGACTTAATTAATTTTGAGATCGAATAAAGGGCCAGAATCAATTCTGAAGGGCTGCATCATGAATTTGAAAAAGAGTCGATATTTTTTTGATCAATGATCTTGTGGTGTTAACATTACGCGAAAGGCCATTCAGGTCGCAAGTGATTCGGGTCTGGGGAGAACATGGAGGTAGGAAGTAAGATGGAGTTGCTCTAACAAGTTTCTCCGGTACCCTGCTTTGAAGCACTGGCCATCCCTACGTGGTGACCAAAACATTGGGTAATTTACCATCAAATTGAATGGGTTTTGACGCTATCGGATGTAAATATTTTGTAATTACGTCGTAAATATACATATAAATGTATATATTTTCTTTTTCTACAACACTTCAGAGTCCTAAGTATATGAAAACAACACATTTTTTAACAACATTTTATTCTGAACGGAATTAAATGCTATACTTTTCGCAGAACAATTTGCTCAGAATGGTTTAATTTGAATGAAATATTTTCACAAGTTTTCGTTAATTACATTAGAAAAAAATTGTAAGGTAATTCGATTTTATTCGGCTATGGTACAAAAATTAAGATCAGTTTATTGTATTATTAATATTAAAATTATGCATTATTTCTTTTCTATTTATAGAGCTTCTTCCTAAAATACTTTCTTAAATATGACATGATTTTTTGGCTTCGAAATCGAAAAATATAAGTCGGTTTATACCTAATGCTCTATTCGGTTCATTTCTAATTAGACCAACTTTTATTTTAACAGCGAAATACTTTAAATAGTACTTAACTGTCTCTGAACATTTCTGAAAGGGAATAAAATAAGGATTTTTTAAAAGTATTATTATAAAATGTAAAGAGAATAATTCTAGAATCAGTCAGAGGACCATTCATGATCGACCTCCTTTAGCAAGATACACAAATGTTTTCACCTCCGTCGGTTACCCTATTTTCAAATTCTTGATAAGCTGTCTTGATGATGTAGAACGTTCACATGGTCACATCATCTTGACCGCACATGGTACTTCCAAATTCTCAAATGAATCTTGTCTTCTGTTCCACACATTTGTGTAAAACTGTACATAATTTTACGCAAATGTGTGGTTCCAAATCAAGAAAAAGTTAACTTTCCTTGATTTGGAACCACATATCTAACTGAACTGGCATATCTATGTGTATATTTATTTATTTTGACGAGGATTGCAGTTTTTGGTGATAATTTTATTTTTATTAACCCAAATAATTATAAGACTTTTCTGCACAGGCTGAGAAAGAAAAGTATACTGCGTATAAGGTACACTGGTGTGCAAAAATTAAGGACGAGATGGTTTTTTCAATATAACTTTGTACAAAAGCTTTCCAAATCAACACATTTAATACTGTAAGATCCCCAATACGTAAGGACATGAGTAATGTAAGCAACACTTACGAAAAGAGAAATCAGGGATAAAAAGAAGCTTTATTGAAAAAGTAACATGGAGCGCAATGCGACTGAAGGCCGAAACATCCCTGTGATGGGTGTCCAGCAAGAAACATCCTTTAATAGGGGATATGATCTCCCCTGACTGCTAGGCAGGTTTCACAGCGTCTGCCCATGCTGAGAATGAGGGTGTCAATGAGTTGTTGAGGCATTGCTGCCCATTCTTCTTGCAGCGCCAATCGAAGCTCCGGAATCGTTACTGGTGGTAAGGTACGAGCTGCCAAGCGTCTGCCTAGAAAATCCCATACATGCTCGATGGGATTGAGATTCGGAGATCGTGCGTGCCAATCCATACGTTCAACATCCTCACTCTCTAAGAGCTGTTCGGCAGCTACTGTGCGATGACATGGTGCATTGTCGTCCATGAAAAGGAACTGCA